TCCACCATGGAAGAGTCCATGTGGTGGAAGGCACCCCTAGGTGCCTTGGGGGGAGGGAAACCTCCCCTTGGCCGCCGCCCCCCCCTAGTAGATCTCATCTACTAGGGCCGGCGCCCCCCCCCCCCCATGGCACCCCTATATATAGTGGGGGGAGAGGAGGGATTTCACACCAGCCCCTGGCGCCTCCATCTCCCCCCGTTACGTCTCTCCCTCGTAGTCTCGGCGAAGCCCTGCTGCTGTGACGCCCTGCATCCACCACCACGCCGTCGTGCTGCTGGATCTTCATCAACCTCTCCTCCCCCCTTGCTGGATCAAGAAGGAGGAGACGTCTCCCGTCCCGTACGTGTGTTGAACGCGGAGGTGTCGTCCGTTCGGCGCTGGTCATCGGTGATTTGGATCACGTCGAGTACGACTACATCATCACCGTTCTTTTGAACGCTTCCGTGCGCGATCTACAAAGGTATGTAGATGCATCTAATCACTCGTTGCTAGATGAACTCCTAGATGATCTTGGTGAAACGAGTAGGAAATTTTTTGTTTTCTGCAACGTTCCCCAACACCGTGTTGGCGGGAGGTGGAGATGGTGAGGCGTTGAAGAGACCGAGGGGCAAGACCAACTCTATGGTGGACGATAAGCGTGATGGGTCATCCATTGCCTTGCATGAGACTTTGCACGGCATGATGTCTCAAAAGGATGTGAGGGACGAGAAAAAGCGACAAAGCAAGGACGAGCAAATGAAGCAATACCTCGAGTTTCAAACGAAGAAGCTTGAGATGGAGGAGGCGGCCAAGAGGAGGAAGATCGACATGGAGGAGGCGTCCCGGCAGAGGCAACTCGACATCGAGGCCGCCAATGCCGCGGCCAGGCAGAGGCAGCTCGACATCGAGGTCACCAATGCCGCAAATAAAGCAAAGGAGGTGGCGCTAGCGATCATGAGCGTGGACTTGAGCAAGATGAACGACAAGGCGAGGAGCTGGTTCGAGGCCCGGCAGAAGGAGATGTTGGACGCCGACGGGCTGAACTAGGTGGTCTGTTCGGCCGTGGCCGTCCTTTTTGGAGGCTGGCATTGGTGTCGGCCGCTGACTTTGTGCCGGCGAGAAAAATATTCATTTTGAAGGGTGGTTGTGTTGCAGGCCGCTGGCTGTATTGCTGGCTACAAAATTATTTATTTTGAAGGCTGTCTGTATTGCCGGCTGCTGGTGGTGTTGCCGGCAAGGTCGTGTAGACAGACGTTTCTTTGGAGTTGTGCGCTGGAGTTGCCTTATGCTCAAAACAATCACTTTCATGTCACCGCCCCTTGTCTGCCTGAAACAATACCCAAAAAAGGGAAAGAGAAGAAGATACGTTCTATTGATAGAGAAGAGAATTCATGTAGTAACTCACACAACTGGGGCCTCGATGAGAGTACGGGTACAGTGCATACATGGAAGACACAGACAGGGCAGCAGAGTTGGTCGGCGTTGGGCCCTGTGCTGGCCGCCGGCCGGCCCGGCCACGCGGTTGACTCTTCTAGCCTCGGTTGGAATTTCCTCTCGCATCCATGTGCCTATGCTGCTCGTGATACTATCGACAGTCGGAGAAAAGGACTTAAAACTGTTTTCGTCGGACTTTGGCACCCTCCCCACACACGTGCTTCCTCACGACCAACCTGCCGGCCGCCGGCCGGCCGCCTGTTCCTGTTATGTTCGGTCCCACTTGCTAATGACGCAAGCGTTGCGCAATGATCACGTCAGTAACTTAGCTTCTCTGCAAATATTACCGAGACACAGTTTGTTACCCAGTACACAGCCCTACCGGTGGCTCTTCAAACTGACGGTTTGCTTCAAGTGCAACTGTGATGCTGTTTATGAAGCCGTGCTCTTTGCGATTAAAGAGGACGTACGGTTTGCTACCCAGCACACAGCCCTGCCGTGTTAGCATTTTCACAGGACAAAGTGAGCCTTGCATACACTATTGAGGACACGAAGGAGTTTTTTCAGGGTACGCTAATAACATACCTTAACTTTATAAAAGGAAGAAAATATGTACCCTCCGTTCCATAATGTAAGACGTTTTTCGACTTTAGTGTAGTGTCAAAAAACATCTTACATTATGAAACGGCGGGGAGTACAAAAGATTACATATGCGCTATAGCTAGGTGTCACAAGTTGACCCTAACCAAGCCTTCACACCACTCCCTAGCTCTACTCGACTACTCTAATACAAGTTGTCCTCCAAACGCTCCTTCTCTAGCCCAGGTCCTCAGATCATCAAAGATCATATCCACCGTCTCCCACTCGCTCTTGATCATTCCGGTGCCGAATACTCGCGCGTTCCTTTGCTTCCATAGCGTCCAACAGATTAGCATCACGAAAGTGTCAAAGCCTTTCCGAGATTGCTTATCTATTCTTTTTCTAGCTTCTGTCCACCACTGCACCAATCTTGAGTCGATAGATGGGCATAGGTCCGTCGTCAAACCCATTCTAGTAATGCAGCGGAACCACACCTGCATCCAGCAGATAATGTACCCGTAAAACCATTAAAAAAAAGTTTAGGCCAAAAAATATCTCTAACAAATCCCGTAAGCGTGGAATAAATTTACAGGACTTAACTTTAGCTTTCCTCTAGTTTAGAACAAGTTTCGCTTTCATTAACTTTTGGCGGCAAGGTAACCGCCTGGAACGACCGCCGCAGCTCGCCTTCGTGCGCCGCCGCACCACCACGCCGCCCCATCATATGCCTCCGCTCCACCCCGACGCCAAGCCGCAGCTCCAGTGTGCCATCCCACCGCCTCCCCGTTCCCCGTCGTGCCACAGCTCGCCTGTGTCACTGACTTGCGGGCCCTAGACTTGTTTAATGGAAAAGTTTAAGAAAAAAACAAAATTTAGGGGAAGCAATCTACGGAATCTGACAAAAGTTGCTCTCAGTAAACTTTCCCCAAAATTTACAGTCATCGGGTTTTTAGGGCAATGGTTGGAGTTGCTCTAAGATTCCTTTTACAATACGAACAAGCGTACACATATCATATCTCTACTATTAACCGTTGTAGATTCGTCTTTGCCCCACCTCTCCTCACACACACTCATTCCTCACGTCATGCATTAACCCAATCAAATCAAATGAAATCTTGTCAAAAACTCAACTGAATCAAAACTCCGGCCATTTCTTTTCATCATCTTCTTTACCTGGGGTTCAGAATTATTCAGTCAAAGTTAGCTGCTCGAGAGGCTGTCATCTGCGGTTATTCACAGCCACAGGAGCCTTGGTGGAAGTTCCTACGGACAGTGAAGCAGACTCAGGACCATGTCTAGTCGACGGATAGATGGATCAGTGAAGCAGAGGCAAAGAAGCACCGTGAAGCGATGTGCGCCATCGGAACACCCAACCACAGCAGTTTTTCCAACTCTCCCGTGTCGGCCGCCGGCGAATCGGTGATCAACTGCGACACCATCATGCCAATAACACCCCCGGGGCCTGAGTTTTGATTTGCTAGGAACACCAGAATTTTACACTATGTAATTCTGCGGAAACCAAGAACAACCTCCCATCACAAACAGTTATGTAGATTATACAACGCATGCTTAACCGGCATTGCGGGCTGCACTCGACAGACAAGATGGACATTAATTTACAATACTAAGCAAGTTTTTCATCGGTAGGATAACACAGAAGAGACGCCAAGATAATTGATAGTAGGTTTATTCTTTCAGCCTTACATCGCCACATGTTGCAACCGGCTAGGTACCCCGCCCTAGAGTCTACTCTCTCACCTGAAACAACAAGTGCGGTGTCAGCAAAAAGATCAGGTAAGAAGCACAAGCTAATCAACGGCGCAGAAGCGATGGAGCACCAAGCACAGAAATATCTAAACTCTGCACAAGAAGAACTTCAGCACCACACGCCTATATTACCAGCTTAAAATGAGAGTCATAGTCCTATGCTAAACTTACAAGTCAAAGGGACAGTGTTTTGAGCAGATGCTCTGTTTCATTTACTCACTTGCGTTTTGCCTCTAAGCTCAGCCACAAGGTACAAAAGAACAAAAGGCACCTTTAGCACCAGTCAGCATCATGTTAAATAGCAAAAGTTTTATTGAAGCTGACAGGTCTGACTTTGTGAAGATCAAGTCACAATCATTCTACAACAAGTCCACAAGGTAGCTTTCAAGGCTGGCAGAAATTAAGTCTAAGATACTGACTGGTGCACAACACATTACCAGTCAAAAGGAAAGAAAGGGAAAAGGAAAACTCAAGTAATGCAAGACCACAAACGCAATTGCTTCAACCACATCGGCATGAGGCATCATCTGACTTGACCCAACAGATTAAGTAACCGATAAGAAAAAGTCTGTCATACTAGGGTCTGTGAAACTCCCATGCAATAAATTCTCGGCTAGCTCGCAACAAAGCAGTAAAGTCTTGGATATCATAACAGATGGCCACCTCAACTCAAAAGTGCATTGAATTGCAGTGTCACCACATACAGTGATCCGGAAAGACACCGTCGAAGATATGTTCTTGGAGAAGTCTCTCCCATGAAAATTACCACAGAAATTTCATATCTGCCATGGCTAATTTCTGTTGTCAAAGTAGTTTGTTTCAGGAAATATTTGCTTGTTGCACAGTTATTGATAAAAGGCTGCTATGCTGACTGGAAATAGTAGGCAGACAAAGTGCACTTTTGTTACTATGTGGTGAAACTGTATATATAAAAAAAAATTGAAAAACTGTTTGATAACAAAATTTATGCAACAGGACTGAAGAACTATAGGCAGGACTGTTACATGTACAGATATAGAGGCTAATTGGTTCGCTGCCAAAGTTTGGCATTGCCAATATTTGGCAAGCCAACATTTGGCAAAATCAAAAGTTGCCAAAAATTGGCAAATTTTTGATAGGTGGGCAAGAACCAATTGGTAGCAAACCAATTAAGCGCCAAATTTTAGATTTGCCAACAATTGGCATGCCAATTATTGGCACCAAACCAATTAGGCTCATAGATTTGAAGATTACCTATTTGATTACTCCGCGATAACCTTCTTATGAGCTTTGTATGACAAAATCACGTTCCATGCAAGGGCTACAAAATTAGCGGCAAGAACCTGGAAAAAGCAGCAGTTAGGTGAGAGCAATACTCAGAGCATGCCAAAACTATATAAAGGGGCAGAAAATAGCTAAGCTAATTCATTTCACATATACTGAACATTGTAGTAAAGACTGTCGAAATGTGCAACTTTTTTGGACCTGGAGCTTCTGTGGGACAAAATAGAAATTCAAAAACTGGAACGGTATCCACAATTGCCAATTCGCGATCAATGAAGAGAACCACTCCTGTAATAGTTGTAAATGTTCTTCATCAGTAAATGACACATACACAGTGTCAGGGAAGGGTTTTGAGAGGGTTGATATCCTTTTCACCTGCTTAAGCTTTGGCACTACAAGAGATGGCTTTCCCTCCAAGGTTACGAGTAAGCTCATGAAGACACCAATGAAAACAGGAGAGAAGATGAACTGGGCAAGGAGACAATTAAAAATTAACATGTCAAACAGGAATGCAATGGACATAAAAACAACTCAAGAAGGTAAAACAGGATATGAAGGAAATGATGAAAACCTGGTCAAGTAACAGGCGAGAAATGACACCAGATGTCCCGCTGATCGTCACTAATTTACTCAAATACAAGTACCTGCATATGGAGGCAAATTATCAATCAAACAAGAATATACACTAACTACTGATCACCATAATTTCTGCAGAATAGACAAGACAAGATTACCAGAAATGCAACGTTGGCCCCACCAGGACAAGTCCCAATAACGTGAACACAAATGTTCTCTTCAGGTCTAGCTCTGGCACTTTATCAATTACAAGCTTCAACAAAAGAAAAAGTAGATAAAGGGTTGTCAATTACACGTCTGCTCGTCCTAAATTTCACATCAAAACTAAGAAGGGATGGTACTCGTGCATGATCAGACTTACACAAGCATGCATCACGCAGCACAAAGTGTGGGTTTTCTCTTTAGTGCTAAACTACATCTGCACTTAACTACATATATGGAATAGAAGGCAAACATGTAGATAATTTACAATACAAGACATATGGCAAAATCGCGATACTGGTCCATTCTTGAATGAATAATAGTTCCCCCTTGCCATTACCAGACTACATTACGATTACCTCCGTCCGGGTTTATTAGGCCCTCTTTATTTTGGGCTAAAGTTTGACCATAAATTTAACTAATAAAATGTAATTGTATGTCACAAAAAATATACTATAGGAAACCTCTTTCAAATACAAATCAAGCAATATACTTTTTATATCATATAATTTGTATTTTGTTAGTTTTACATATGGTCAAAGTTTGGCTCAAAATACGAGGAGGCCCGATAAACCTGGACCGAGGTGGTACATGCATGTGACTAAATTGCGTTCAGCATGTCTAACATTCAGACTCTTTTTTCTTGTGCAATATTACATTGACTGATCTAGTTCCTGAAGAATTGTCAATGGTGGGGTAATCATTCACTAGTACAAGAAGATCCAAACAGAACTGAACAAGAGGTCGTATCTTGCAACCAAGGCTCGGCAATTAACCAACTGACGACTACCGAACCCATGCTGCATTGCATAATACCACACTCTAAGGCAGCAACTAATAGCGTTGGCATCAACGAACCTGGCAGATGAGGTCCCCGGCCAGAGTCAGCACAGCAGAAGTGACAGCCTTGGTCGCCACCGGATGCTTGTCAAGAGACAGAAGGTACCTGTCGCGGCCATTTCAACACACCCAGTGTGAGTATTCTACTGAAGCATCAGAACCCACACGGGAAAATTTCCAAGGAATGAAGAAGAGGTCCAACGGAATCACCAGGCCACGAGCTGCAAGCCCTTCGCCCGGGCCGCCTCCACTCCTCCAGATGCTGCTGCGGGGGCGGAGTTGCAGCAGGAGGCTGCGTGGAGCGTCTGGAGCCGCGCGAGGCGGCCGCCGCCCTTCAGGGGCTCGACGGGGGCAGGGGCGGTGGACAGGTGAGCGGAGCTGGAGAGGAAGCGGCCCGTTGCAGTGGGCCTCGGAGAGATGATGGGGCGGGGGCCGAGGAGGAGCGGGAGCGCGGACGCCATCGCCATGGAAGAGGATGAGGAGGAGCTTTGGGTTTTGGGAATCGTGCTAGGGTTCTAGAAAATTCCAGAGCCAAAGAGGCAGTGAATGAATAAACTAAACCTGGGCTCATTTGGGCCCATTCGTCTTTCGCGTGAGAAGGAAACGGACCGTTCGCCTTCAGCCCGGCCCATTTAGGTGGTCTTCTTGACCTAGCCACGAAGGCGAGAAGGAAAACGATCCCGCCACCATCTCGCCGGCATTTCCTCCCACTTGCGGCTGCAGCGGCGGCGGCGGCCACCGCCCACCGGGTGTGGAGGCGAGATGTCGTACATGCGAGGCGATCTGCTGACGAAGACGCGGAAACTGGTGAAGGGGCTGGCCAAGCCCGCCCCTGCCTGGCTCAAGGCCATGGAGCAGTAAGTACTCCCCTGATCCCTAGCTCCGCCTCTCCACTTCCGCTATCTTTTGCTCCGGCCGTTTGATGTTGGTGCGGTGAATTGTGTGGAAATGAGAGATCCAACCTTGGTGATCTACTCATCGCATTTGTCCTCCATATACGGTTGATTATCAGTAGTTGGTAAAACTAGATTTGGTATTGTCCACAACATCATCTATCGGTGGCTCGATATTCTGATTTACGCTCTTACAATCCATATAGATGATTGCATTTCCTTTATCATTTGGTTCTCATGGTTACTTATATTAGATGAAAGAAGGCAGAATTGTTGAAAATCAATGTAGTCCCATTTTCTAGAGCGAGCTGTGCTCTGTTTTGCTTTTCAACCAGACTAACATGTTTTTTACAGTTTATTTATTTGCACTGTGTAGCAAACCCGCATACATTTCCTAGGCAAGCTTCAAACTAAACACCAAAATGTTAAATTTGTCAAATCTTGTTTCAGTTATGCTCGATCCAATTATCCCACATTTTTTACGTTGATCATTGGCTGTGAGTGGTTTGTGTGAAACAGAACGAACTCTGCCCTACCTTTTCACCTGACACATTTGTGGACTGATCACACTATGCAGTGCCATAAGGGTAATTTTACATCATCCACTTGGTCCATGATTTATTTATCTTGGCGTTATTTATCGATGTGCTCCATTTAATAGTTAGGTGAACGGGTTTCCTTGGCCGTATTGTTTTCTTCCTTCATGATCTTGATCAAATCTCCTATCTGGGGAAGGCAGAAGATATTTGTGGCTGAAGGGTTCCTGCATTAAGTTTGTCTAATTGGGTTTAATTGCCATTTGCTGTAAACTCGAATATTTGTGAACTGAAGATGTTTGTCCTATTCTTCTATGCGCTAATTCTCTCTACATTATATTCATGTTGCTTGTTTTTTCTTTGAAACACATGTTGCTTTTTTATTAGGGCACCTCCAGTCACATTCCCTAGAACTGATGGTAAAATCGAGAAGATAGAACTGCCAGAGGATGTCTATGTCAAGAGGTTCTTCAGAAGGCATCCTGATTCACTCTACCATGATGCAATAAAGTAATTTTCTTGTTATATCTATCATTACAATCATGACTGTAAAGTATACAAGTTTGATAAGGTTCCAGAATTGAGGATGTGAATGTGTTTGGCCTTTCTTCCATTTTGTTTACAATTTCCTTTTGAGAAGTTAATGAGGAATCATTTCAAATTTGAACTAAAACCATGCAATTTGAACTAAGACCACGCCACCTATTTCTGAACGGAGGGAGTAGTTATTTTGATACTTGATGCTCGCCTTATTTTTCCTTTGAACTGATTAATACAACTACATAATGATGCATTAGTCTAAAAAAAGCTTTTGTTTGAAGGAGGTACAATTGTACATGTACAGACTAGCAACTCCTTTTTCTGACTGTTGATGGTGTCAACATTGCCCTTCTGTTTCACTCCCAGATATTGTCTTACCCCACTTTTTGTGTCATACTGTACACAAAATTTAATAGCTAGCCAATTCTTTCAGGATAAGCGGGTTTGATCCACCGCCAGCAAGAGTTTTTGCTTGGTGTGTCTTAGAGTTGAAAGAACAGGGAGTCAATGAAGATGATGCAATGGCTGTAGCAGATGTAATTTTCCTCTTCTAAAATATATCATTTGTTTCTCTGATGGAGCAGTAATCCAATTATTGGTCCTGCTCTGTCCAAATCTCAAGGTATAGAGTTATAACTCCTTGCATGACTGACATCCTTTGGCAGATGGAGTATGGAGCAGAGAAAAAAGCAAAGAAGCTAGCATACAAGGAACTGAAACAAATTGCACGCAGAGAAGGAAAGCCACCACCTCCAAATCCATATCCAAGCGCTATCAAAGAAATACAGGCAGAGGAAAAGAAGTATGTTAGGGACCGTTTCCATAACCCAAAGGTACTCGAGATCGTGAATAAGATGAAAGAGGACAGACAGATGTTTCTTCAAGATAGAGCGGCAGCATCAGGTGCATCAGGTGAAGGACAGTAACTAGTTGTGTGGACTGGCCTACTAGTTGCTGTTGCTTATGACATCAACCAACTGATATTTAAACTCGATGTTTAGTTTTTCTATAAAAATAAAGTTGTGTGCACATTCAGAAGTTAGTTAAAGAACTAGCTGTAAGGGTTCGAAACATGTTTGGTGAGATAGAGCATTGTTTCTTTCTCATATATTTTTACTATTTTCCTCATACTTACTGATTTCATCTCCCATATTGGTTTAGCCTCAATGCTGTATGAAAGTTTCTCCGACATTGTGCAGCTTGATTGAAATAGAAATAGCATCTTGACATGTAGTTTCCATCTGTCCCTGTGACGAGCATTTTAGTAATCTGAGCACTGGTTCAATTGGTGCTCCCTCGTCAGTACTCTGCTGTGAGGTTGAAGGGGCCAATAGATCCACGTACACTGTTGAGATATGGCATTCTGAGGGACATGATGGAAACTGACATTTTTTGTTGCTTGCTCTTTCTTTGCATTAGCACCTCTTTACTCTTTTTTTGTAAAATAGTTTCCTTCCGTTGGAGTTGTAAGTTATTCTTTTGCCTGCAAAAATAGTATGGAAATATATTAATGGATCAAAATATAGAACATTATTTCTTTGTCACAACTTATTTCTTTATTTTCTCTGTTATTGAGTTTAATTTCCCATGTTCCTATATCCTTAATGCTGGGTTCCCAAACAATTTACAAGCTTTATTAATTTGCCAAATATTGACAGGATGGTACTATCCTTGTTCTTCACTTTTCTCTCCTTATTTGTGATTCGTGTAATTTCCATCTGTCCCTGTGATGAACATTTTAGTAATCTGAGCACTGGTTCAATTGGTGCTCCCTTTCAGCCCTCTGTTGTGAGGTCGAAGGAACCAATGTTTCCACACGTGCACTGTTGAGATATGGCATTCTGAGTGACATGATGGGGGACACTTTTCTTGTTGTTGGTTACTCTATATTCCCTATATAGGTTTTCCTCTCTTAAGATTTATATGTCTTCTCATCTTCTGCTATTCATCCAGCACTGTAATTGCAAATCTTTGCTATCTTGAAATTTGATGTGTCCCCTCTGCAATTTGTGATTTGTTTTTGCTTTTTGGTGAGGAAGCAGACCTGGTGAATGAAGGAATTTTATTATTTTTTGAACGCAGAGGCAAAAGATTTGCCTCATTCATTAATTAAGGGAGGAGACAAGGTTTAAGTCGGAGCCACATGAGGCCCACTGAATACAAAGACATTACTCTCGTGGCATCAAATTACTCAGGCGTTTCGCACTCGCTAGCACCCAGAGCCTAGCTTCCTCCAAATTTCGCAAGATGATTTGGGGGGGCCGTCGATTTCTTCTGGAAGACCCTTGCATTTCTCATTCCAAATGGTCCAGGTGATGAGCAAGGTGAGGATCGTCATCGCCTTGTTGCGCCTGGCCATATGAGTTCACCAACTACTGAGAGAGTGATGAGCCGCCCATTGGTTGGTGTTGATACCGCCAATTTGCAACCAATCTTTAATCAGCCTCCACAACCGCATAGTGTACCGACATTTGTAGAAAAGGCGAGTGGCGGACTCAAACTCCCTCTTGCATAACGGGCAGAGACCACAATTTTGCAACCCGCGCCGTCCACACCCTATTTTGGATAGGTAGCCATGCGAAGAATTTGACCTTGGGGGTGCCTAGACTTTCCAAATAACCTTGTTCATGGGCGTGAGGATAGCTCCGATGAATTGCGCCTTATATGCTGATTTGGCCGAGTATTCCCCATTAGGGGAGAGCTTCCAAATGATGGTGTCATGGACGTCTTGGGAGATGTTTATATGAGAGAGCAGAGACCACAGTTCAATGAATTGAGTCACATGAATCCAAGTCAGCTCACAATGCATGTCAATGGCCTTGATCCACGCATCATCGTGCAAGGCCCCACTAACCTTCCAACTTTTGAGCTTCGAGATCTTGTATATGAGGGATGCAACATCAATTGGCTTCTTGCCTCTGAGCCACGGTGCGTCCCAAAATGGCGTCCTTTCCCCATTGCCAACTTTGATGGTGGTGAGAGCATAGAAAAGATCCATGTCCTCTTTGTCGCACGGGTTTCACGAACCAACCCAAATCTTCGTTGGGTCATTGCCACTCATACCATGGCCAACGCAACCGGAGAGCTCTAGCAAATTTGTCAAGGTGTAGGACCCCTAATCCTCCCGGGTGAGTAGGTCTACAGACCGTTTCCCAGTTAATCGAGCACTTACCTCCGGAGACCTTTTTCGTGCCCGCCCAAAGGTAAGCATGCTCAATCTTGTTGATGCTCTGGAGAACGGGTGCTGGCACAATGAGCGGGGTGAGGTGGTGGATGGCCTGGGAGGTGAGGACCGACTTCACAAGAGCCCCACGTCTGATGGAGGTGATATGCATGTCCTTCCAAGGCACAAGCTTGTTCGCAATTTTGTCATCTAGGTGTTGATAGTCCACTCGCTTAAGTTGCCAAACGGAAAGCGGTAATCTGAGGTATCTCATGGGGAAAGAAGCTCGAGTGGCTGGCATGTCCTTAAGTATGGCATCCAAATCCAAGTGTCGACACCGAATCGGCACCAAGGAGCTCTTGCGAAAGTTTGTGTGCATCCCTGTGACCTCACCAAACCCCTCCAGGATGTCGGCCAGGTTTCTAATATCCTCCTAAATTGGCGCCACAAAGACAGCCGCGTCGTCAGCATAGAGTGATGTCCGAATAATGGTGCCACGC